GGCGACAGTTTCACAGATCGCAGCCCCCCAGGGATGGCGAAGTCTAATTTGAGTTTGCGGTGAGTACCCACTGTGCTGGGCCCCCCAGCAGGCCTCGAAAGTGGCGGCAGTTTCACAGATCGCAGCCCCCCAGGGATGGCGAGGTCCCATTTGAGTCAGCGGTGAGTACCCAGTGTGCTGGGCCCCCCATCAGCCCTCGAAAGTGGCGACAGTTTCACAGATCGAGGCCCCCAGGGATGGCGAGTTGTCATTTCAGTTTGCGGTGAGTACCCAGTGCGGGGCCCCCCCAGCAGGCCTCGAAAGTGGCGACGGTTTCACATATCGCAGCCCCCTTGGGATGGCGAGGTCGAATCTGAGTCTGCGGTGAGTACCCACTGTGCTGGGCCCCCCAGCAGGCCTCGAAACTGGCGACAGTTTCGCATATCGCATCCCCCCAGCTGGCACGCAGCGACGAGCGAGGCAAAAGGCAAGGGGGAAGAGAGGGGCGGGAAGGAAGAAAGGAGACGCGCGAGCAGTGCTCTATTCAACACGAGAACCCAACGCAGGAGGGTTGGGGGTTGGGAAACAACTGAGACTTTGTATTGGTTTTTTACAGTCAGGATGGGCGGGCCCGGATTGACGGCCGGGCGCGATGTGCGCCGCGTCCCATGTGTGCGCCGCGTCCCATTGCTGTCGCATGTTTCGCACCGTCGGCGACAAGGCAGGCCATGCGGAGAGGAAATCGCGAAGACTTTGTATTGTTTTCTACAGTCAGGATGGGCGGGCCCAGATCGACTGCCGCGCGCGATGTGCGCCGCGTCCTAATCCGGCCACGCTTTTCGTATCGTCGACGGCAAAAAAACGATGTTGAGAAGAAACACGGCCACTTTGTATTGATTTTTTACAATCCGGATGGGAGGTCCCGGATTGGGTTGCTATCGGCCGGAATGCGAGGTAGGTGGGGGTATATAATAATAAGGAACAAGATGGGTGGTGTGGGTGGGTGGGTGGGTGGGTGGGGTGGTGGGTGGGTGGGTGGGTGGGTGGGTGGGTTGGTGAGAGGGTGCGTGTGGGTGGGTTGGTGTGTGTGTGGGTGTGCAGCAGCAGGATACCGATGCCTACGTGAATGCAGATGGCGCGTTCGATCGAAGGAACAGACGATAGCGGCGGCGACGACGACAACGATGGCCATGATCATGATCACGATGACGTGTCACGATCAGTATGGTGCTCTCCTACGAGAGCCCCAAGCAGCGCTAGAGACCTTCATGACTTTCCAAGAGTACCCCCAATGAAGTTTCCAGGAGGAGAAGTCAATGATTCAAGACGCTGCGCGTTCACCGCCCGCCCATTCCAGTTCTCGCTGGAAGAGACTCAGACGGCACCAAGACGGGGTAACAATATTCCGAAAATGGTGAAGGACTCTCCCCACAGGTGTTCGCCGATTGGGCTCAGGCTGGCCCTGTGGCTGATCGCTTGTGAACTCGTCAATTAGTTTTCGGCCTGCCATCATTACCGACGGATCAGTGATTTGGACGCTGGCTCTCTGGGCCCCTCAACAGGGGGCCAACGATAGAAATAACTCCGCCCGAAGCCAGTCAAAGACGGCCCGAAAACGGGCCAAGAAAGGTCCCCAGGGGCCGAAGAAAAAGGGCCCAAAAGGGGGCCAAGAAGGGCCCGAGGCGGCTCAATGGACCTTGGGCAGCCCACGCGACAGCACCTCCACACGTGGGGCCACAACACCTTCCGAATTCAATCAAAAACCGACATGGCCGGGGCCATCATATTTGCCAAGATTTTCGAAACCCCTCTTCTTATTGAGCCCGCGAAGAGGGAGTCACGGCGAACCTCCAGAGGGAAGCTTGCGCGCAGATTTTGCAATCAGCGGGTGTTACGGCGGATACAGACTCGACGAGTGTCGGTACCAATCGTTGCAATGTTTCTTGGGGCCATGTTGGCGTCCCGTGCGGGGTGTAACGGCCTCAGTGCGCAGATCATTCGTATTTTCACATGTCCCAGGAGAGTTCGGGGCAGGACATGCGTGAGGGGTGTGCCGATTTGAAGCCTTTTTTTGCCCTGGGGGCGCACATCACATGTGTTTTTATTTGCCTCAAAAGGGTATGGGGAAGGAAATGCGTGATGGGGTGTGCCGAGTCGAAACTGTCGTAATATCGCGCATAATTTTTCGTGCCCCAAGGTGGTCTGGGGAAGGAAGTGCGCGAGAAGCGTGCCGAATCGAGACTTTCGTAGCCCTGGGGGTGCTTACTATTTGTATATTCGCATGTCGCAGAACCTGTCACACACATGGGCCGAACCTTGTAAACGCATGCCATTTGTATTTTTACGTGTTGACGCTTCGCGTATTCCCACCAGCGACTACGCGGCGGTGGTCATCGAGTACATTGGCTTGTCTTTTGTCGCCATTTGGCGCTGCACGTGGACCTGGTGCTCTTCCTGGTCCTCCTCGCCTGCTGAGCGTCTCCGCAGTTTGCCTGTGCGTTCGCGGCCTAATTTAGATCGTGGCTTGCTGTCTTGCGACTTTCTGACGGCGTGCGGCTCTTCCGCTTCGCTTGCGAACCACAAAAATATCCCCACCAGCTTCCGTAGCCCCCTGGCTCAAGTCGTGTCGGCCCAGCTTGGCCCTGGTTGAGGTGCGCGCTCGGGCCGGGGCCACGTCCGCTCCCAGCGCGGCCCTCTCCGGGGCCGCTCCGCGCCGCCGTCAGCGGCTGGCGGCGGCGCGGCGGGACGCCCCGCCGGGACTTGGCGGCCCTCCGGGCTCACGTGGCCGGGGCCCCGCCGCCGCCGCCGCGGTGCCGGCCCGCGGCCGACGGAGGCGGCCGGCGGCCGCCCCAGCGCGGCCCCTGCTGGTGCTGGGCCGCTGCTGGTGCCGGCGCCGTCGGCGCCAGCGCGTTGGCTGGCGGCCCCGCGCGCCCCCGCCGCGTTTCCGATTCGTCGCGTTTTTCATGTTGAGGTTTTCCGCGTTGCGTGCGTTGCGCGTTTTGCCCGACGGAGATCCAGATGTGCGCCAAACGAGCATCTTGTTACGCGGCGATGCACGAATCAGCGTGTGTGCTCTCAGTCAGGCTTGGCTGCTGGGCAGCTTAACGTGTGCCGGAGTGTAGCAGGGCACGTGGGCGCAAACATTTCGAGCATTTTTCAACGAAAGAGATGCCCTCCAAGGGGCAGTCCCCGCAAAAACTAAGAAGGAGGACGGGGAAAACATTGCAGGGATGGGCGAGGAAGAGGACGCATGAGAAAATGAAGATGACGCATGACGCATGACGATGATGAGGATTATATCTTAACTACGAGTATTACCGCCACTCGGTTCCTCACCATTCCGCCTGTTTGCGGAACTCGAAAGGCCAGTGTGTATGGCGCGAAGCGCCAGCGCAGTATTCTACATACATGCGTACATTCATTTTTTTCCGTTTCGACCTGGCAAAGGCAATCCGCGCGGGCGCTCGAGTTGCTGGGGGCGACGCTCCGCAAATTAATCGTCCAGCTGCAAGAGGGGGGGCAGGGTCGGGCGCGCGCGACGGGGGGGGGGCGGCCGCGGGGGAAGGTTCTCACCGCGGAAGGAGTTTCTGGATGAGCGCGACGCGCGTCCATACACATATGCATACATTTTTTATTCCTCTCTCTCTCTCTCTCTTTCTCTTTCTCTCTGTCTTATATATATATATATATATATATGTATATGTGAATATGTATGTATGTATGTGTGTGTACATATATATATATATATATATATATACACGTGTGCGTCCCGTCCGCTCGTAATCGTGAGGCGTCCGTATCTGACGGGGGGGTAACCGCCGCCTCGTCGCCGCACCGCGTCGTCTTTCTGGAGCGCCTGCTGTGCGCGCCAGTGTCGGCCGTTCACGACGGGGGGCTCCACGGGCTCCCCGACGGCCGCACCCCCGACCAGCGAACACATCTGGCGACGCGCCTCCACTTAGGCTTGACTGGCGCGGAGAGAGCGGCGTGCGAAGGGTCGCCCGCCGCCGTGCCTATCGAATGTTCCCTGGCCAGGCCCATCCTGAACCCTGGAACCGTGTGCGCGGCCTCTTGGCCCAACCCGGAGGGCGTTGCGTATACATCGCTGCTGGGTTGAGGATGGGCCTGGCCAGGGATCGATTTCGTCGCCCTACCCCCCCGCCTCCCGGCGAGTACACTTTTGAGTATGCAAGCAGGATGCAGGGTCGAGGCAGTCCCTTGATGCTCCCGTGTGTCCGCTTCTGGCATTGGGAAAAACGCAGGCAAGAAGTGGAAACCAGAAGGACAGGAGCCTCTGTGGCCCAGGGGGATAGGTGTGTGTGTGTGTGTGCGTGTGTGTGTGTGTGTGTGTGTGTGTGTGTGTGTTTGTGTGCAAGTTTAGTCCTCGAGTTGTTTCGGGAATGCTGATGAACCTTTGCACGTATTGTCTTGGGCTTCGTTCTCGATCGTCTTCTTGTTCGAAGGGTCTTAAAAGTTTTGTTTCCCTCGCGCTTGTTTCCCATGGGGCCAGCCTGTCTTGTTTCCTCCCTTCAAGCTCTGCGTGAACAGGGCGGGGCCGCAACAGTTTCTGGGAGGGGCGGGACGGGGCGGCGTGCATTGCGAAGGCCTTGCGGCCGGGGGGACGGCGCCGACGACGTTGACGCTGACGACGACGACGTTTCGGACGACGGCGACGACGATGATGCGGACGACGACGACGACGATGTTGTGGACGACGACGACGACGTTGCCGCAAACGCAACAGCGTCTCGCACACGCCGACGGGGTCGGCGGATGTCGGGGATCGGGGGGACACAACGAGAGAGAGAGAGAGAGAGAACGACAGAGAGAGAGAGAGAGAGACAGAGATAAACATAGATATAAACAAAGGGAGAGAGAGAGAGAGAGAGAGAGAGAGAAAGGGGGAGAGAGAGAGAGAGAGAGAGAGAAATAGAAAGAGGGATAGAGAGAGGGAACGAGAGATACTGAGGTACAGCGATATGCAGATACGTGCGCGACATGTTCTTGCATATCCCTCCCAGGTTACCAGAATATTGTCGCAGCTGCCGACCTCCAAGCAGCGCTGCACGGCTTTGCAACAGTTCTCCCGTGCTTTGCGCGAGGGACGGTTGGTAGATGAAACGATGCGTTAGGAGACGGACAAAGTATAAGAGTCAGTGATCCTCAGGACGCGCGTTGGCCCAACTTGTGCTCATCCCGCTCAGCTCCGCCGATAGCACGCGGCTTCGATTGGCCCTCGTCGAACTGCCTGCGTCGTACTGGACGGCTGCGGTGGACAAGCGCGTGCTGGCGCCAGCACTCGGTCTGACCGTCCATCGAGAGAGGGTGTGGGCAGGCAGGGCTGGGGCGCACGGAGGGAAGCACGAGCAAGGGAAGGGGAAGAGCCAGGAAGGGAGGGGACGTGGCGAGGAAGGGGAAGAAAGGGGAAGAGCCAGGAAGGGAGGGAAGAGCCAGGAAGGGAGGGAAGGAAGGGAAACCGCCAGGAAGGGAGGGGAAGAGCCAGGAAGGGGAAGAGCCAGGAAGGGAGGGGCACGGGAGAGAACGGACTGGAGGGACACGCACGGTGTGCGAAGGGCAGCCAGGCGGACGGGCAAACAGGACGGAGCGGAGCAGAGAGAAGGAGGCATTCTGTGCACTTGCATCCTGATGCGAAGATCGCCTGCCCGGGGCGCAGGAAAGCTAGCGTTGCAGCAAGCCGGCTCGTCACTGAGGGCATGGCAGCACGCATGGGCAGCCCGTCGAGTGCCGACGCCCCGCGTGCGAGGGCCTAGTGTTAGTTAAGTCGGGCCTGTCCCTCTTCAGGGGAAATCTCCCAAAATAGTCAAACAATAGTCCAGGGACGATTATTCGAGAGCATTTTTTGTAGATTTTTTTTGCTGTTCGCCCAAGATCCGCCTGCAGGGGGGTCATGCCCGACCTGAGCCTGGTGGTCACTGCGCATGCCTTTCCTCTCCGATCCCTTTTGGATTCTGTCCCAGGGGAGCTTCGCGCACAAACCAGACGAGCGACACACGCTCCTCCTCCGTAGCGGTCAGGCCTGGCCCGCGGGCCGCGCCCCCCCCCTCCGCTGCCCACCGAGGACGCCGCGAGCCTCCCCGGCCGGGCCCCGCAGGGCTCGCCTCCCTGGCCGAGGGGAGAGGGAGAAGGTGGACTTCGGGCGTGAATTGCAGTGGAGGCCAGTCCACAAGTTCGGATGCAACTCCTGGGAGGTCAAATTCTGTCTTTGCCCTGCTCCGACATCCGGGCTTAATCCGGCTCAAGCCGGCTGAATCCCGCTTAATCTGGTTTTCAACCTCGCTTGATCCAGCTTAATCCGGCTTAATCTGAGGCCCACTTCGGCATAACAGCCCCCCAATGGGGCTTAATCCTCTTCAATCTTTCTGCGGAAAACCTCCCAGTAGTTGCCTCCTAACACAAGAACCCACTCACAAGAAACCCAACCCTGAGACCCCAGGACGTCCGTGGACTTTTGGTGTGGGCATGTCTCGCTGTCCATAGCAAAACCATCGAAACCCAAGAAACCCAAGGCACCCTAGAGGCGAGCAGGGTGTTTCTTGGCATGGGCCTCCACTGTAATGGGGGGCGATACAGGGGGGGGGGTCAGCGAGGGCTGCAGAAAAAAATACCTCTCGGGGCCATTAAAGGCCCTTCTTGGTCCAAAAATGGCACCTCTCTCCCCCCCCATTTATCGCCTCCCGCTTAGTTGGTGGCCGGATGATGCGATTGACCGATCGTCTGGAGCAGAGTTGTTTCCCCCTATCCCGATCCTCCTTCCCGGCGTTTGGCCGGTCGTGTATTATTCAGGAGGGGAAAACACACACAGACACAAGTAATCGTCGATTCCAGGGAAAATATTGGAAAATACGGGAAGTGGGGGGGAAGACGAAAGCCCAGAAATATTGGGAAGTATGGGGAATCCTGTTACCTGTGTGTATTTCTTTGTGTGTCCAGGGGCCCCCTTACAGGCCGATTCTCTATGGCGTGGCACCCTGGGCACCAGCAGTGCCAGGCAGCCCCTCTGGTTTTTGTCTGGGCCGTGCAGCCCCGACCGTCGGGGCTCTCCTGGGGCCGGACGAGAGGGGGGGATTGGGAAGGGGGGGGTTTTCGGGGGTGGACAGACCTCCTACCCTGACACGTCGATTCAGGAATTGGCCGTTTTCGGTTCGCGAGGGGGCGTCGCGGCCGTCATTTTTGCGGGCCCAGGTCCGTCGGTTTCGGTCCCAGGCGCTTTTCACTAAGGGGAGGTTTACTAAAGAGAGGTTTGTCCACCGCCGACGTTTCGAAATCTGCTGCATGCAGCTGGTTTCGGCCCCACCGAGGGGCCCATTCCTCGATACATGGGCGCCTCCCGGCGCCGGGAGGCGCCGGGAAAATCGGCCACGTGAACTGATGCCCCCCCCCCTTTGCTATCCCCCCCTTTCGCCCGGCCCGATCTCCCCAGTGCCCACCTTCAAAAGGCCGCCAGACACTGCATACAAGATTTAAGTCGGGCCTGTCCCTCTGCAGGGGGACTATCCAAGAATACCAAAAATACTCAGGGGACTATTTTTTGGGTATTTTTAGAACATGTTTGAGCATTGTTTGACTGGTTTTCATTTTTCGTCCAAAATCCATGACCTACCTAACACAAGATTCAGCGAGCGCAGGCCATGCGGGCGAACAAGACCCGAATCTTTCGAACACCGCGCACTGACGTGGCAGAGTAGAGTCGGACCTAGGCCAGCAGAGCATCCCTCGAGAACATGAGACCCTGCGTCGGCCAGAACATACAGAACATCCCAGGGTGCCCCTCCCAGGATGCACAAGAACTTCCAACAAACACGAAGAACACCAGGGCACCCTCCCCGAACCGACCTCGATCTTACAGTGGGAGCTCATGCCAAGAAACACCCTGCTTGCCTCCAGGGTGCCCTGGGTTTCTGGGGGGTTTCGATGGCTCTGCGATGGAAAACGTGGCGTTCCCACACCGAGAGTCCATGGACGTCCTGGGGCTCCAGGGTTGGGTTTCTTGTGGAAGGTTTCTTGTGGTCGAGCTCCTAGTGTACATCTCGGTCCGACTGTGCAGAGAATGGCCCCCGAACGTGGACCGGGCTCGCGGCACGCCCACGGATAGCCCCATTTCAAGGGCGAGCCTGCGCCGAGCGCGGGGCGCCGAGCCGCGGAGCGGCGTTCCTCCTCCCTGGTCGCGTGGCTGAGGTGAGCTGGTCCCCAGAGATCCGAGGCTTCGACAAGCATCAAGGGCGCCCTCGAGGGCGCAAAGTTATTCGCGCTTCGCAGCTCGGCTCCGATTCCTCCTCATCCTCCTCTTCTCCCCTGGGAGGCGGCGCGAGAGCGCGAAGTGATTCGCACTTCGCGCTTCGCGCAGCGCGAAGCGCGAAGGTGGGAGCCCTTGAAACATGGGAGCGGCTGGGTTTCGGCCGCTTTCGGCCTCCAGGGGCCCTCCGCGAGCCCCGGGACCGTGAAAAGACGGCTCGGGAAGAAAGTTCGGCCGTCGGGCAGTGATGCAGACCCTTGGGGGTCCACGCGTCGAGAAAGTCGGAGTGCTGGATGCCTGCGTCGGTATCGCCGCGTTCTTGCGGTGTTGTCGTGTCGTGTCGTCGTCCGTCCCGGCGGCGCACGCGCCGCGACCCGCCGCTGATCCGCCAGGGAAGCGCCATGGCCCGGGGGGGAGGTGCCGGATGTGGTCGCGCTCCGGCATGATCAGTTCGCATGATGTCGGGCGCACGCGATGCAGGGTACCACCGACCAGCGTCCATGGCCGACCAGAGACCATCAAGGGCATAAAAAAACGCCCCTACCCCGCTGTGCGCTGAAACTCCTGTGGGCTGACAGGGTAAACCCTGCGTGATGCGCCGCGTCCTGGCGGTTCTAGGCTCTGGGGGTCCCCAGGAGGTTTACAGACCGCGCACCTGTAACCCAGGGAAGGGTCGTTTTTTTCATCCCTCCAGACCATGCGAAGCCGTCTGGGCCCAAGCTCCGTGATTGTACGTCGCGCTGCCCCCGCCCAGAGCAGCGGGGGTCTGCACATGGTGCCGTGCTGTCCGCCAGAGGGCTGGCCCGGCGGCGGCGCCGCGCCAGCGCGCACCGCTGCGCGGGCGGGCAGATCGAGCGCAGCCCTCGGCCAGAGAGCTTCGAGGGACGCGCTGTCGACTGCTGCGGCCACCGCGGCTGCCGCGCTGTGGCGCGTTGGGGCAGCGGTGGCCGCAGGGGCCAGACGATGTTACGGCGGCACGAAGGCGCGCTGGCGTCGTTGCGTGCCCCGGTGCACGCGTCCTGGACAGCATCTGGGCGACGATGCACATTCGGCCTGGCAGAAGCTGAGGAGGCGTGGTTCCGCACTGTGGGCGCTGGCGGGAGTGGTGGTTGGCATGCTTTCCGTGTTCTCGCTTGCCGTGCTCGTGGTCATCATCAGGGCGGCCCGCATTTGCGCGCCTGGTCTGGCTGACTACACCGGCATCCAGCTGAATCTATTGCGAAGTATTGGATGCGTGCATCCTTTCTGGACAGGGTTGGTCATCGTCCAGCTGCTCGTCGTGAATGGCGGCTTCCTTGTATTGGTTGCGGTCGTTGTCACGAAGGCAGTCCGGGCCCTCAAGGCACCAGCCCGTGTCAAGATTCTAAATAACGCCTTGGATCAATTTGTTGTGGACGGTATCTCGCCCGCTGTGGACAACACAATCGGCCCACTATCGACGTCCCAGTCCATCGATCTAAGCGACGATGCTCAACTGGCGAACTACATCGAGCAGATCAGACTTGACGGCAGCAACCTAGGAATGCCGAAATTGGCCAGCGAGTTTTTGGGAGCAGAGACTGCGATGTTTGGCTTTCTCGCGCGCACTGCCAGCAAAACAACGTCGGCTTTCGTCGCGGACTTTGTCAGTGACATCAATGCGGACAACTCGCGGGCAGAAAAGCTGATCTTCGGCCACGCTTTAACTCTTCGCGTTGTAGGGAAGAAGGCTGCCTTCCGTCATGTTCCGAATGCTGGCGTCACGCAGGACACGGCGTTCAGACTTGCGGATTCATTTATAGAGTCAGGTCATTTCAAGACAACGGTGATGTCTGAGCAAACCGAGCGGGA